GTGAATTCATTTTGCTAACTAAATTTCAAAAATACATTAATCTACTAACCACTTGATGAATGTTATGATCTTTTTAAGATTATAAACTGTATTAACTTATATATATATTATATATATATATATATATATATATATATATATATATATATATATATATATCACACTCCACAAAACACTATGTATAGGAGTTAATAAATGTGTTTGAATATTAAACAATTTCAACTTTTAGACTAAAACCACGTCAAATATTAAAGTTTAATGTCAATCGACATCTGACACCCTGAGCTTGTTCCCTGTCCTCCTCTGTGTCCTTTCCTCAAATGCGCCTCTTTGCTCTTGTTCTCAATCCTCTGTAACCCCCTGCATGCTAGTGGCACTCTCGCCTTGCTTGGGGTAAATTACCTAAAAAAAAATGTTCAGTCACCCCAGAAGAAGAGTAAATTTTAAATAATATATATATATATATATATATATATATATATATATATATATATATATATATATATGGGGTAAGTGTACGTGTCTCTGTGTGTGTGTGAATTGAATTGAAGTAATCTATCAGAGTTATAATAACTTCATATTGTCAGTCGAATATTAAGTCCTAATCATTAATCATGTCTTTCTGATTTTCCATGCAGGACATACAGACTGAGTGTTGAAAACTGACCTGTAACGAATCCAAAATAAAATTGCCTAATTATGTGCTTAAATCATCAAATTCCAATTTCACCCACTCCATCTTGGTCAGCTGATTTTCCTCTCAATGACCGTTCTTTGCCTACAAAGGCCAGCACCAATCAAAAGTGAATTATTACAATTTCTTTTTCAATGGGGACGCCGATGTCCCCTTGCATTCTGAGATTTATCTTATGCATAAGTTTGCTCATATAAAAGAGATATAAATTACTTTTGTTTGAATTAATGTTATATTTGCATATTCATATGTTTATGGGAATAAACAATATAAGTTTACAGGACAAATGTACAATGGACATTTTTGCCATCTGCTTTCTTCTCGTTTATGTGTTTGGTATTTACTCTCTCAGTATTTATAGAATCATTAAAATGTATGAAATACTTGGGTCATTTGTTCAATATCTATCTATCTCAGTGTTTTCATCTATCTATCTATCTATCTATCTATCTATCTATCTATCTATCTCAGTCCTTTCATATCTATCTCTCTGTCTCTCTCTATCTATCTATCTATCTTAGTCTTTTCATATCTATCTATCTATCTAGAAACAAGCATATATATTGGACATTTTGACGTGGTGCAATGGTTAACAAGCTTGTCTTACTAGATCAATTCGATACTTATTGCGTGCCCTATACATTAGGCTTTGTTACACATCTTAGCTACAACAAGGAAATAACTACACACACACACACGCACACGCACACGCACGCGCACGCGCGCGTACATCTCTATATATAAAGTTTTATCCTTTGTCTGTATGTTATCGAACACCTCCTAGGATTTTTAAGATAGGCTCCCATAACCACATATATTCTGAAACTACATTACCTTGGATAAGTATATTTCATTTTGATCAAAAAGGGTTTCCGAGGGTGGTTTACAAACCCCACGCTGATTTTTTTCCTCTCTGATATAAATTAAATTTGAACAAAGGGATGACTCCTAGGGTACTTGGATAAGTATATTTCATTTTGATCCCACTGCGATTTATTTTCTCTTAGATTTAAAATAAATTTAAATTAAGGAATGACTCCTATCCAAAATATAGAAGGAGAAACCCAGAAGATGGAGGTCACATCAGCAAGATTATTGAGTAATATTGAAATACATCATTTTTCTTCGCAAATTTTAACAATGATTTAAAATCAAGCATCATTTTCTTACAAGAAAAGGTGCGACAGTCAGCCCAGTAATTCGTCTAATATCTATCTATCTATCTATATATATATATATATATATATACATATAATTGTTACTTCATTGCAATGGGCTTGTAGTTGATTTTTAAGATCAGCTTCACTTTTATAACTACATCCTTGAAAGGTTTATATATATATATATATATATATATATATATATGTATGTATAAAAGTGAACATAGAAGTCAACATTTAGAGGCGACAGTCTGTTTCATGCTATATGCAATCGTCAGGCCACGAGTGCTGTTATTTTTCTCGGCTATTTATATATATACGGATGCAACTATTATTTATATCTATTATATTATAAAAATAGCTATAACTGTTATATAATGATAAAAAAAAACACTACGTTTCTTAAAAATCGAAAACCGAAAAGAGAAAATATACAAATAAATAATAACAAGTAAAATAAATTGACCTAAATTCATCCAAATAAATAAATAAACCAATCCCGATAAACTAACCGTTAGAAAAAACAAATAAAGATAATCAATCCAAATAAATACAAATTAAAAACTGTTCCCGCCAAAATAATAGTTAGAATAAACTACAACAATCAACCCCAAAATCGAATAAATAGCTTTAATTAAGCTCTCAAACCAAAACAAAACTATTAAATAAGCGATATAAACAAATTTTTACTACGGTAATAAAAACACCGGTTAATAAATAAATATATAAGATAAGAAAAAAAAAAAAAAAAAAAAAATAATAATAAATAAAAACAAGTAAAATAATTTAACCCAAATAAATAAATAAACATATAAACGACTTCCGGTAAAATAACCGCCAAATTAGACTACTCACAATGCACCACTGACCCGTATATATATATATATATATATATAAATAACCGAGAAAAATAACAGCACTCGTGGCCTGACGATTGCGTATAGCATGAAACAGACTGTCGCCTCTAAGTGTTGACTTCTATGTTCACTTTTATATTTACACACGCTCTATCTCTGATATTGAGCACTTTATTCCATAAATATAGCACATCTTATGACTATATTTCTTCTCTCTCTCTCTCTCTCTATATATATATATATATATGTGTGTGTGTGTGATAATTTACGAAGCTGTGTTTTATTGATTGTGGCAAAAGCTCTCTGAACGGTGTTCTTCAATTGATGGGTATCCTGTTATCGTTCATGTGAAACTCTCTCCTTGATAATACCCACAGAGAGTTGAAAATTGAAAATTATATTATGTAGGGGCGAGAAGATTTTCGGACCACTTTGTATAGCAGTGTTTATAAATGCGTAGGGCATAGTCCTTAAAAACATTAAATAGACTCGGGATCCTTCTAATCGAGGATCTTGACTTTCTGGTGAAATTTGAAATGTTTCCGTATTTTGGTCCTCGTCAGACATGTAAGATTCTGTAGGTCGATACAGTTTCTCTATCTGATCGATGCATTCAGTGGATTCGGGGCTTGGAAGGCAGTTTCTAATGGATGAGAAGAGGAAGTCTCTATTAATAAAAAAGCCTTTAAAAGCTTTATTTCACGACTGTAAAAATAAAACGGACATTATAGTCAGAATTCGAAAGAGACAGCTGAAACTTCTTGGACACACGCAGAAAGAGGCTTTTGACACTCACAGGAAACATCGACGGAAAACGGGACAGGGGAAGGCAGTGAGCCACATACTTGAAGGGCTTACGTGAATGAATGGGAGAGTGAAGTGAATGTTTTTGTAAAGGGACAAAACTTGCAATGTGCGGCAAAGGATAGCAGGTTGTGGAGAGTCATAATCCTCCACGCCCTGAAGGAACACGGCATACAGAAGAAAAAATTATTTTTATATTCGTTTGTCCTGTTTTTTCATAATTGATATTTTGTATCTTCTCATGCCCGATGAGATTAGTCTTGTTCTTATGTTGCTTCTGACACAAAGTTCAGGTCAGTGCATCCTGAGGGTGACATCATTTATATTCTCTGTCATGGGTACGACGATAAACTACATCCGCGTCCTGTGTAAGACGATAAATTACGTCCAGCAGCAAGGCCTCTGATCAGGAGGTTTTGAGGAGCGTGGAATCACCTCTTAATTGCTGATATTCCCAGATACATTCTGACCCGGGGTGCTAGCACCTGTTAGGGTTCCAGCTATGGGCAAATACTTACCCTCCTCCAAAAACAAGGGTTCAAAGCATATAAAAGGTAAAAGAATGGGTTTTAATAGCAGAAATACTTTGTAAAAATTATTACCAGCAATAGATTTTTGAAAAAAAAACAAAATACCAGCGATACATATTTGAAGGAAAAAATATTACCAGAAATAGATTTTTGAAAAAAATGTTAACAACAATGAAAATTTTGTCGGCAATAAATAACCCATTGAGGTTGATATGCCGTAAACCAAACCAAACCAAACCAAACCAAACCATTTATATTCTATCCAATGTTCCTGCATATGTCTCCTCATATGACTTTTCTGCCAAGCTTTTGAGACGCAGACAAGGTCACAAACAAATAAGAATTCTTACAATCTTCGTGTGGGTACGTGTTTAAGCATGTATAACCAAGGGAGGAAATAATACGCAAGTCAAGGCTTTAATAAACGGCTTCGAGATGTGTACTCATTATACTTGCAAAGTTCTGCTTGATTATGAAGTCAAAGAAATGGAATTTAGACACGCCCTCATTATCAGTTTAGTAAAGTAATTATATCGTGTGAAATTATCTCAGTACAAAGAATTCACCCAAATCCGTTGACGAATTACCTAATGAGAGAAACAACACGATGTTTCACTTCTTTTTCGTTCATTGATACATAACACAGTACATAGATCAATGAAAGGTTACAAGGAGAGAATCCTTTCGAAGCTACCGCCCTTCATTTAGTATCTGAGTGCACGTGTACAGCAAACCGAAAAAAAAAATCGATTTTCTGAAAGAAAAGTAATTGACTACAATGAAAAATGAAACCTGTACAAAATGAGATTCTCGACGGTTAATGTTTGGAAATTCTTAGATTAAATGCGTTCATGATTACTATTTTATTACTAGTTTCTTTCATCTTAGTGTCGCATTTGGTGGGAGTCTCTTTAACCAGTTTAAATTAAACAGTGTGAAATTGGAATAAAGAAGT